GGGGTGTAACTGGAGGCATTGGGGTGTGGCTGGGGGTGTTGGGGTGTAGCTGAGGGTTTGGGGTGTAACTAGGGGGCATTGGGATGCAATTGGGTGGTGTTGGGGGGAATAGAGTGTAGCTGGGGGCGTTGGGGTGTAACTGAGGGCATTGGGATGCAATTGGGTGTTGTTGGGGGCCGTTGGGGTGTAGCCAAGGGCGTTGGGATGTACCGGGGAGATTGTTGGGGGTGCCTGGGGTCTAGTGTGAGGACAAGGGCTCGGGGTGTAACCGGGTGTTGGGGGTTCGGGTGTGATGTGGCAGGGGGGGACGCCGGGGTGTCCCTGGGGTGTCGGCTGTAGCAAGCGCCCACAGGCGCCGCATTAAGCAGATATTTTAAAATAAAACGTGCGCTCGCCGTTCGTCAGGATAAAAGCGGTTCACTTGACTGCGGCAGGTTCCGGAAAACAAAAATGCCAAAAAAAAGGCCCAAACGACGAGGCCGGCGCCCCTTTCACTCCCCTCCTTGTGTTTCCCTCGAGCCGTGGGGAAGTCCACGTTCGTGAGGCTCCTCGGAAGGACGTTCCCGGAGTGGCACCTGGTGACGGAGCCCGTGACGCAGTGGCAGAAGGTCCAGGCTGCGGGAGAGGTGAGGACACGCGAGCTCCCTCCCTCCCCAGTGCCTTTTTCCTTCCGTATCCCGCTGTTTTTCCTCACAGGCTCCCTCTCCTCAGGGCGTTGGCAACCTGCTCCAGCTGCTCTACCAGGAGCCGTCCCGATGGTCCTACACATTCCAGACCTATTCCTGCATGAGCCGCCTCAAGGCGCAGCTGGAGCCGCTCGCGGAGCGGCTGCTCCGGAGCCCGGAGCCCGTGCAGATCTTTGAGAGATCCGTGTACAGCGACAGGTAGGGGAAAACAGAGAAAAATGGGAATTAAGTGCTCAACGGGCATCGCTTTTATGGCAGCGAATGGAAAAGGAATGAAGCAACCAAGGCAAAAGTCTTGGAAAGCAGCTCCAAGACGTGCATGGTGCCGATGGGAGCGGGACCCTGCAGCCTCCGCTTGGCCCGGAATCGAGAACGATGCTTAATTAAGGACATTCCCGTGTCCCTCCGCGGATACCGGGCGCTCTGGGAACGCTGCGGGAAGCTGCAGCCGCACGCGGATCTTCCCGACCGGTTCTGCTCCTTGCCGCTCGCTCCCGCTCCGCGTCGGGCAAAGGTGCCTGGATGGGCCTGGTCCCGGGAAATCCTTCGGGTGAAGCCTCACAGGCTGCTCCCGTTTCCCTTGGAAGCTGGAAGCACAGGCAGCTGCGTTTTCCCTGTTGCTCCGATGTATGTTAAGGGTGTCCGTGCAGTCCTCACCGGAGCAGGAGGTTCTCCCTTGGAAAACTTATCCGAAGGCGAGAGGTGCTTGAGCAGGGAGGCCGGAGGGCTCTGCCCTTGGGGTGGCTCTTGCTCCCGCTCCTCCTGCTTGTGGGAATCTCCTTCCCGCTCGGAATGCCGCGCAGCAGGCGTTGTGTTGCACCCGTGCGGGCCGTTTCCTTCGGGAACGCTCCGAGGGCGCCAACTTGGGATGAGAGGAGCGACCACGGAGCCTCCGCGTGGAGGCCGGATGCGTGGGAGAGGGAAAGGGCAGAAACGTTATTCCTGGCTCCGCTCGAATCCCGAGCTCTGGAAAGGGGAATTTTGCAGCAGTGCCGGGTTAGGAATGCAGAGAGTTGCTTAGGAGAGCTGCTTTCCGTGACCGTATTCCCACATGCCAAGGTCTCTTCCGAGCGAGCTCCGGAGGGCTGTCCCGCTTGTGGGAGCATCCAGCCCCCTTCCAGGAGATCCCCGGGGCCGGATCGGGAACAGGGAGCCCCCGTGTCCGCGGTGTCACCGTGTCCCCTCCGTGCCCTCCAGGTACGTGTTTGCCAAGAACCTCTTTGAGGCCGGACACCTGGGAGCCCTGGAATGGGCCATCTACCAGGACTGGCACACGTTCCTGCTGCGGGAGCTGGCGGAGCGCGCGGCGCTGCACGGATTCCTCTACCTGCGCGCCGCTCCGGAGGTAACGGAGCTTCCCACGGGGATCATAGAATCATGGAATGCTGAAGGTTGGAAGGGACCTCTAGGGATCATCCAGTCCAACCCCTGCACACGCAGGGTCACCTAGAGCACGTGGCACAGGGCTGCGTCCAAGGGGGTTTGAAGATCTCCAGAGAAGGAGACTCCACAACCTCTCTGGGCAGCCTGTTCCAGGGCTCTGGCACCCTCACTGGGGAGAAATTTTTTCCTTAAGTTCCTGTGGAACTTTTGGTGCTTCAGTTTGTGGCCATTACCTCTAGTCCTATCAGTGGCCACCAGTGAGAAGAGACCAGCACCATCCTCCTCACTGCCTCCCTTGAGGTACCTCTAGACACTGCTCAGGTCCCCTCTCAGCCTTCTCTTCTCCAGCTGAACAGGCCCAGCTCCCTCAGCCTCTCCTCACAGGGCAGATGTTCCAGGCCCCT